TAAAGGGATAATCTGAGGGGAAGTGAATCTGAAGGAAGAAAAGGCCCCCAGCATAAGGGGACTTCTCCGGCCCCATAATGGTTGCATGCCAGTGAAAGATGTCGTGTTCGTTCACAGGACCCCCGCTGAGGTTCGCCGGGGGATCCTTCATTAAGTCTTTGAGCTCTTTTTGAATCCGACGAGAAGCCATTTATATATAAATATATATTTTTTAAAATTCCTTTTTTTCTTCGTTTATATATGTGTAAGGGGGGGGGATTCTACTTTTTTTTTGTTAGTGTTGGGGGTTTAAATTTGAATATACAAAAAGAGAAAATTGTGTGAATATATACAACAAATGTTTTTTCTTTCTTCGGTGCTTTTTTTTTGTATATTTCTTAATTCGTTAAGAAACTAGTTATTAGAATACTACCAGGAAAGGCGTAATCTGTATAAACAAGATATTAACGAATAATTATTGTAGAAAAGAAGAAATTTAATTAATGAAAGAATATCAATTGACAGAAAATAAAAATATACACTTAATGTAGTATAAAAAAGCACATAATTTCATTTATTGTTTTGTTAGAATGCTTCTTAATATTCAAATGTCGCGTAAGTTGAAATACTTCAAAGTAAACGAATAGGAAAAGCTAAAACACACACACACACACAAAAGGCAAGTGAAAAGCCTATTTATTCTATTGTCTGTGTAGTTTTCATCTATATTTCCAAGAATAAATTTACTCGGTTCGCTGCCTTCTAACCGCTCGCGGTATGAACGATGTTAAGGTAGTTCTTGTGGATGTTGTTGGCTTTTTCCTTTCTCTTTTAAAGGCGTTTGTCGTTAACTCAGTATTTTCCTTTTTATCATAGTTTGAATAATGTACCGAGGAAGCATCCCGTAATCGAAGTTTTTCTCGTTTAGATTCAACTGTAATCCCTTCCGGGGCGAGGCTTATTTCCACCGGACGCTCTTTATACAAATGTGAACTTAACGAAAGCAGTTTATCCGTGCACGCCTGTAAGAAATCCTCCGTTGGTTGAGGGGAAATAGTGGATTTGTTGTTTAAATCCACAGAGGACGGCGTGGAATGGGTCGATTCGACGTTTGGCGAAATTGTTTCGACTTGTGGTGCAGAATCGTCGTGGGGGACCGATATCGAGCTAAGATTGTTCGAGTTTCCACCCGGAAGAGGCGCGGAAGGGGATTCTTGAGAAGGGTTTGGTGGATTTTTTTTACAACGTCGGCGCTCGTCCTCCGTGGGATGGCGAAATTCGAGCAAAAAATATGGCTTTCGCGAGGAGGCCGCATAAAAAACCTCCACCGGGGAGTTTGCACGAAGCAGATGATCGTCTGCAGTGTACCACGCCGCGATTTCGAGCTCCTCACGTAGGCTAAATAAGAAGGAATTAACAAGCTCATGGCGGCTGGATATGACAGGGGAGCGAATAAAAAGCGTTTTGATTTTTGTCATCATTCACTTTTTTTTTCTATATCTATTTATTTAATCAATAATAAAGGAGGATCTTCCTTTTGAAGAAATCATCAAAGAGGGAAAAAGCAGCCACTTATGAAAAGGAGATATCTATCGGATTAACCAAATGCATTTCTGAAGCGTTTTTTTCTTTAGATGCAATAGTAATGCGGTAAGTTTTCAATCAACCAAAAAAAAAATTTGTTCGTTTTTTCTCAAACTTCCCGATATATGAGAAAGGGGGCTATTGAACGGTATTGATCATAAATGAAAAACTCAAAAGTGCCAATAAGCAACTCGTAAAAGAGAACTTTTCATGAAGAATTGGTGATGCCCTACGAACTGTGGAAGAAATATACTGAGAAATCCTGAAACTAACACCCCTTTTCTTCTTTCCTTTCCGTGTGGATACAAAAAGAAAAGGGGAAAACCGGATGCAGAAATAGGAAACCTGATCATTGCAATGCAATCTGATAATCCTGCCAGTTATTCATCATCGAAGGGTTCACCTCTCTCCCTTTCCCCATTTCTCCCCCTCCCTTATCCATTTTTTTCCCTTTTTACGGATTTTTGACGGTGTTCTGAAGTGCCTTTTCCATCCCTTTATAATACTCCCGGAGCTCGTCAAACCTCCAGCGAAGATCTATGTTGAGGTATCTTTTCTCGTGCAGCTCTGCCACGCGGGCCTCATCCTCGTCGAGCTGTTTTAACAACGACCAATCGCGCAGGGGGTGGAGGCGTTTGACCCATTTCGAGGTATCAAAAGCGCCGATATCTTCGCTTTCGAGAAAATCATCCTTGACCATCAGCCGGACCCCGCCGACTTGTCGACTATACAACGTATTTAAGATTTGCGTGGCGCGATAGGGCATCAACGTCCCAAGTGGGGTCGAAATCGGGCGAAATCCCCCGTCCGAGTTCAAAATCGAGCGCCGGAAGACGAGCGAAAGGCGTTGGGCCTCCACAGGAAGCACCATGTGGAAATACACATACCGCGCGGGCCCGGAAAGAATGTAAACGGAGCGATCGGGGATCATCACGTCGAGCTCCTCGCCGGTTTGGACGTGGACGAAACGTAAAAGGGCGTTCGCTCCGATCGAAATCAGGGCGAAAATGTCATCATACACAAATAAATTGTCCACATGCGCGCGGAGGAAGTCGCCGGGGTCGTATAAATTCGCGGTTTGGTTATTCACCCACCCCTCTGGGAGGATCTGATCCTGCTCAAGGCGTTTCACCACGTCCACAAAGCTGCTCGTGGGGAGGGGGGGGAGCTGAAATCGCCCATCGCTCACGCGAATTGTGTCGGATTGTCGTGTGTAGACGTCCACGTAGCCTTTGCGAATCTTCAGGATCTCGTCCTCGTGCAGGTAATCCGGGAGGATCGCCAGGCCAAAGTCCGGGCCAAAGGGGAGGTAGGGCTCCCCGGCCGTGATGAGCTTTAGGCTCTTCCCTTCCCGGAGGTTGTTCACTACCCTTCGAATCTTTTGGAACATTTTGTTTTTGTGTGTGGGGTTTTGTTTTGGGTTGAGTTTTCAACAATAGGGAAAAAAAAGACACTATCGCGTTTTTTTTTAGTTTCCTTCTTTATCCTAAGAATAGTAACAGTGAGGTAAAAGAGAAGGGTGGTATATCCGTTGATATTGTTATTGTATAGATATTCATCCAACGAAGCGACAACGTACCTTAGAAGGTATCGCAATATAGTTATCATCAGATCGAATAATAATTATTAGTTGTGACCATCATTCTATTCAAGGTGCCGAATGTATAAAACCATTCCAAGAGAAGGAAGAGAAATAAACAGATATGACCATAAAGAATGCAAAGTACACACCTGAACGTGGAGGATGGTAAAATCCCTTTAGTTTCCAAAGTATATATATAGACTTATACCGTTGCGATATTTTCCACTTGAAACTATTCATCCAGGGTGATTCAAATCAGCAGTTAAACTCAATAAAATTTTTCTTCCGTTGATTGCGTAGCTTTGCTTCGCCGATAATCGACGCGTTCACCCCATTCAGCACTTCCTTCAGATAGCTTGAGCGTGCTTTTTTACTACAACCGCGTCGACCCTCCTTGTAAAAGCTCGGCAACGTCTTTATCCCATTCTGAAACACATCCGACCTCTCCATCGAAGACGAAGCACCACTTTCGGAAATATTTCTATCCAAGATGGAGGCAGGCGTTCGGGCGCGTTTTACGACACTAAGCGTTGATGACGAGGTTGACGCTGGAAATTTGATCGACTGCGAAAGCGGCCTTTCCGGATTATAAAAGATTCGGACCCGGGGGGGGAGGTCAATCTCGTGTGTGAAAGCCCTCGCGGAGGATGGGAGCAGCGCGACGAGGGTGTATTTATGAAACCCCCGGAGTTGGACCCCCCCGCAGACATCCACACCGAGCAAAGCCCCCCCGGCGAGGGTTTCGTCAAGGAGGAATCGCCCCGCGCCGAAGGTCTGCGCGGGGTAAAGGCAGTGATGGTCAAGTAAAATAGGCTTGCCGTTGAGTTCGACTCCGCACCAGTGCGCGAGGGCCCCCCCGACGCGATGGGCCTCATAGCGCCGGAGATGCTCCCGCTCGCCGCAGTGGTCGAGGACCCCCGCCATGGTAGGGGGAACCCGCGCGAGGTGAAAAGAACCCTCCCCCGCTTTCCTGGTCGCCGCCGCCTCCTTATTCCTCCCCACCTCCTCCTCGTTCGTTGTCTTATTCGTCCCTTTCCACTTCTCTGTTGTTACACCTCCCTCCCCCTTATCTTTTCTCTTTCCTGTTGTTACATCTCCCTTCTCCTTCTCTTTACCTTTTCCTGTAGTGACACCTCCCTCCTCCTCCTCCTCCTCCTCTGTTACTTCACTTTTGGGGTTATTCCCCGGGGAGGCCGTCTCATACCGCGTGCAGAGGGCGCACCAAAGCCCCCCGCTGGCCACGTCGTGGCGGATTCCCTGCACGGCAAACCGCCCCGCGAGCTCCGCCATTTCGTCAAAATTGGGGGATTTTTTTTCCGTCAGGGCCGTCTCATCCGTCAGAGGGGAGGGGGGCAACTCCTTTTTGAAGAGGGCCCTTTCCGAGGTGGAGGGCATCAAACTGGGGTGGGAAGCTCTTTTTGTGAAATAGAGGAAAGGTGATCTTCTTTTTGGTTCGGGTGTGTGCGTATATTAGTTCGATTTGTTATCCTTCATACGTTGTTAGGTTGAGCTAGACTATATAAAGTTTCTAGATCAATCCAATGCGAAATGATGAGGAATGTGGAGGGTTTTCAGCAGGCGTAAAATTTACCATATCTAGATATTTAAAGCATAACAGCAAATTCATTAATAATGGAAGTTTGTTTTTTAATGTTTCTCAAATTCCAAGTAAAGAAACTGGAGCTCAGTAAAAGTGTAAAAAGCAAAAAATGTAAATTCCAGTTTTCTTCTCTTATTTCCCTTTCATGGAGGCTCATTATAGATGTATAGCATTTGTGCAAATATGTATTAAGGAACCTTTCTCTTCAAAAAAGGTTGAAATATAATATTCCTATAATTAATCCCCCTATACATTCCTCTTCCTTTTTCAATCCAAATGAAAAAAATCAAGGAAAAAAGGGCTGATATCATCCGTTATTCTTCCTCATCCCTTTGTTACCATTATTATTATTATCATCTTTCTGTATAAAATCGCAACACGATGAAGATTTTCCTTTTTTTTTTAATACCATTTTTGTGAAGTTATGTTGTAGGTTTAATACGCCGCATGGCCTCGTCGAAGTGCTTCTGTGTAAGTTCAGGTAATTCTCCCTCTATATTATTATAATCGCCATTCGAACTCATCTCACGTAAAGGTAATAAGGCGGCGGCCTTGCATAATTCCGTCAAATCTGACCCTGTATACCCCGTTGTTTTTATCGCCACGTACTGGATAATCCCATCTTTGTGCGGATTAGTCTCTAAATCGTGCTTTAGGACGATCCGAAGAATCTTTTCCCGCGCGCTTAAATTCGGCGGGGGCACTTCGATCTGCAAGGGCATTCGCCGTCGAATCGCACCATCGATAATCAACGAGCGATTGGTCGCCCCGATGACGATAATCCGCGAGGTCGAATTCGAGCTCTTCTCCAATCCATCCCAGGAGGTCATAAAAATTGTTTTGGCGTGGGTGTGCGGTGTGGAGTCTTGAAGATTGCGAGCCCCGAGCAGGGCGTCGATCTCGTCGACGAAGATCACGCACGGGGCGATCTTTTCCGCCAGTGTGAAGACCGCCGAGGCGTTTCGCTCCGTATCCCCGACCCATTTTGAGAAAATCGACTCCACCTTCACGTTAATAAACGAGCACCCGAGTTCTTTGGAAAGCGCGCGCGCGAGGAGGGTTTTGCCGGTCCCGGGGGGCCCATACAACAACACACCTTTAGGGTGCGAGCGGACCGTCCGCCCACTAAACAACTCAGGGCGTTTAAAAGGCCAAATGACGTGTTCGGTCAACATTTGTTTGACCTCCTCCAGGCCCCCGACGTCCCGAAAGGTTTCATCGATTTTGTCGAGGTCGATCACATCGCGCGCGATCTCCTCCTCCGCGGCGGTGATGTGGACGGAGCGCCGGCCGATCTGGCAGCGCTTGCGAAGCAGCCCCTGCCTAAACGTGAGCTTCTGCGTGACGTAGAGCAAAACGCCGATGTAGATCCAAAAGTACACCGGGGTGTTTAGAAAAGAATTCCCGATTTGCCCAAGGGCATCCCGCAAAACCCTCAGGGCTTTGGTCCAAAAGCCCCCACGAGCGCCAATGAGCTCCGAGGCCGAAGATGGGGGGCCCAACATTGCTAATAATAATAATTGAAGAAAGATATCTAAGAATGCGGAAGAAATGAGACCCAACAAGAAGTGATTGTTAGACTGTACTTTATAGCCTTAACAACCCCTTTGATTGTGGTGTGTGTATAGATATATATCCAGCCAGGAATACAAATGAAAAAGAGAAAAAAAGAGAACGTACGTTAATCGTATATGTTTATAAGAATTCTACCGAGTTTTTCCTCCTTGCTCATTTTCAGGGCTATTCTTTCAAGCGTTTTATTCTAATAATGATAATCAAAACCTCCAAGCGAGAATAACAAAACTAAACATAATGGCGAAGTATTGCCCCATATGCCCTTTATCACGTCAAACTATACGTTTATTAATGATAATAATTATTACCACCTCTCCCCCCCCCGTTTTTCTTGTTTTTGTTTAGCCTAATCATCAAAATTTCATAATTTTATTCTGGGATTAACGTCGACCGCAGCTCGCCCTCCTCCTGAAGTTGTTTGCACACATCATAGCCCCCGATCAGGCTGCTATTGACGTAAACCTGGGGGAATGTGGGCCAACGGCTGAAATGTTTAAGCCCCTCGCAGACCTCCCCGCTCGCCATGATGTCGTGAAATAAATAATCGACATCTAATTCCTCGAAAAGCGCGCAAAGTCGCGAGGTAAATCCACACTGCGGGCGGGAGGGGGTTCCCGTGATAAACGCCACCACCCCGGGGCGATTGATAAGCGCGCGAAGGTACGCGTCAAGGCTGGGGAAGTCCGCGCGTTGGGGGCCGTAAAGCGAGCGAATATTTCGCGTGATGGAATCGATTTTCGCCCCGGCCACGTCGGCGATCCGTTCCAATGTTTTTTTGGACGATTTCGCGTTGGGGTCCCCCGTTTCCTCGACGGAGGGGCGGAAAAAGGCAATAAAAGGCACCGACGTGATGGCCTCCGCCTCGCAAATCGCGTCGTGCACCTCACAATTAACCTCGGCAAATGTTAATTGACGATTATTATTATTATTATGATCATCATCAGTGTTATTAGTATTAGGATTATACTCCGCGTCGAATTGGTTTAATACGGTACGAACCGTCTCGCAGGGCGTACACCAATCCGCGGCGAAATGCACGACGAGGCCCAACGACGACGACGACGCGGCCACTTGATGTTTTAATTCATGATAGGATTGAATAGAAGAGACCTGAATCATCGGAATAATATAAAAAATATATATAAATATTATAAGGAATGAATGAATGACCTAAGGGAGTCTAAGAATAGATTGGAAAAATGCTTCGGGTTTTGCTTCTAAAACAATATCTACACATAGGAAGAAAACAAATCATGATAGTAAAAGCATCGCATAAAATTTCTTTTTTGTTTGGCGCCGCTGAAGATATGACCCTTCATAATAAGGATATGCAGGACTGGTAAAGTAAAAGGAAGATTGTATATATGTATACATAATGCTTCTCTTTTGTATAGCCAATATAAAGTGAAGGAATGCACAACGCAAAAAAAAAAGAAAAAAAGTGTAAATAACGCAGGCGTTCCCAACTTCTATTCGATTCTATATATATATATCTATTAAGATAGTTCACTGTATATTATGAATAGCTTTTCTTCTCTGTTGTTGATATTTTCGTCTGAATTCATCTTCTAGACGCTGGAGTTGTGTGCGTTTTTTTTTTTTCAATCTCCACAGACGCTAATGTCTTTTTGAGTTCTTTCCCACGAGCGCGAAGGCTGCCATGCTGCTCTTTCATCGATTCCAACAACACTTCATGACGTTCAATCTCCACGCGGAGCATCTTTCCACACGCATTTAAGCCGTCCTGCAAGTCATTGAGCTCCATTTCAGAAGCCGAACGACGCGTTGAGTGGGGGTTCTCCTCGGAAAAAAGACGCGATGACGAATTTGCTGTTAGTTCCCCCATCTTTTCATTATTTTTCTGTGGGTTTTGCCGGCGCTTTCCCGACCCTTTGATTTCCCCTTTGGTGAGCTCGAGCAGCCTGCGCAGGGCCTCGGTTTCCTTTTCAAGGTTCAACACCCGCTGGTCGAGATAATTCCCGCGCTGAAGGAGATGTTCGCGTTCGTAGGAGCGGGTTAAAAGCACCCGTGCGTGGAGGGCCTCGGGCGGGGATGTGTTTAAATCGAGCGCGGGAAAGGCCCCATTTCGCATTTCCGCGGCTTTCCCCCCGTTTACGTTGGGGTGGAGGTCGTTGGGCGGGATTGGGGAATCGAGAAGGGGCTGTTGGAGGCGCTTCGCCATGCGGGCCATCCCGTCCGCGTACCGCGCGCGGAGTAAATCGCGCTGACGTCGTCGTCGGCGAAGCCCCTCGCCTTCCTCACGCGCGGCGTTTTGCACTAAATGCAGCTCTAAAAGAAATCCCCGCGCGGTTTCGTCGAGTTCGGCCTCAAAAAGTTCAAACCGCGCGCGAAGATGGGCCTCCGCCCCGACGGCAGTTTTTAAACCCTCGCCCTGATCTTTCATTGCTGCCCGCAGGGCATGGAGGGCGAGGCCTGCCCGACTTTCCCCCGCATTCGCACGATTTTCCTCGTCTTTTAATTCCTCGAGGCCGCGCTGGAGCTCGGGAAGTTCGTTTTCGACGATTTCGCACTTCTTCGCGAGCTCCTCGAGGATCGCTTTTTGCCGCGGCAGGGCCCCGCCCCGAAGAAGCCCGCGAAGCGTCGTTAAATCGCGCAAAAGATGCCGAAAAGTTTGCATCTCGCGCTGAAGAAGTTCCCGCTCGAGGGGAATTTGTGATTTGAGCGCCGCCTCGCGGGCGGTTCGCCGGGAGGCGTCGGCCTCGCGCGCGGTGCGGAGCCCCGCCTCGGCGTTCTGAAGGCGCGTGTCGATTTCCTGAACGACCTTCACGGCGCGATCGCGGGCATTTTTAAATTTATTTTCCTCCTTTGTGCATTCCGAGAGGCGATTTCGCAGGGTTTGGATCGCCCCCTGCGCGCGATCGCCGCGTTCGGCCTCGAGCTGGAAGTTTCGCAGGGTTTCGCCCAGTTTGGCGCGCACCCGCGCCGCGCGGTCGTCCAACTTCGCGATATTTTCCGCGAGAAGGCGTTGAATAGGAAAAAGCGCCGCCGGGGAGGGCCCCGCGGGCGAAAATTCCTTCTCGAGGGTCATCCAAATCCCTCGCAGCCGCGCGAGCCGCTCTTTCCGCGCCGCCAGCGCGTCCTGCCCCTCGCGAAGGGCATTTTCGTGGTGCGCGAG